CTCTAGACCCTTCCCCAGCTTCGTTGCCCTTCTCTAGACACACTCCAGCCCACTCAGTGTCCTTTTTGGAGTGAGGAACCCAAAACTGAACCCCATATTTGAAGTGTGGCCTCCCCAGTGCTGAGTCCAGGGGGACAATCCCTGCCCTGGTCCTGCTGGCCTTATACCTGTTATGCAAGAGCACCTGAGAAGATCCAGTTCATTTGAAACCCTAAACAAATATTGGGTTTGTTATCTTAAGATTCATAGAATCCCAGAATATGTCAAGTTAGGGGAGGAACCTGGTGGGTCCCTTTTGAAGATAAAATTCTCTTTCAGTTTTACTCCATCTTTATGTATGTGAAATCCAACAGAATTAAGAGAAGACTTTGACTTGGAAACTTGATGCAGTAGAATTGTTGTCTTGGTGGGTCCCTTTTGAAGATAAAATTCTCTTTCAATTTTACTCCAACAGAATTAAGAGATGACTTTGACTTGGAAACTTGATGCAGTAGAATTGTTGTCTGGGTTGTTCCTGAGCATTTCCAACACAGCAATTTTGAATTAGTTTTGAAACCATGCTCTCCTCTATTTTTTTTTATTCCTATAAAGGCTGAAGAGGACCTGAAGTCTGTGATAGACCATTTTATTTTGTGTGTTTTACCTCCAGATGCCTTTGCCACCCAAGAATCTTTCCATCCCATGAGAATTTGGTTGGATGTGTGTGGCTTGCACAAGTTCCTGCCATCCTTCAGCTCATTCACCTTCAGTAGAGTGCCAGGGAATATTTTTCTCTGGGGCATTGAGAGGTGCAAGGTATTTAAAATGGTGTCAGGGAAATCTAGTTTGGAGGGGTTGAGACATCTAATTGCAGGAGAAGGATGCTTTTAAGTAGCTGTTTCAGTGTTCAAATCAAGCTTATTAAAGGGTGCACTTAGAAAATGTATTAAAGGAGAGCTCACTGAAGGATGCCAACACTTGTAAATGCACCTGCACTCTCTGTGCACCAAACCCCAAATTGCTCTCCAATGAAAGCTCTTAGAACATGTTTTTAACCCACCAGTGATGTTAAAATTCCATGTTCTTTGCACTGCAATTACATCCCTCTGAGTGCTTTGACTGTTTTTAAGCCAAGTGTTTAAATTTGAAAGCTGGCTGAGGCACAGAAAGAGGGGAAAAAAAAGAAAGCAAATAAAAGAGATGAAGGAAAAGGAGCAAGGCTGGGTGTCAAAAGCAGCTGACAGCTCTAAAACCAGGACAGCAAGTCAAACTGTCAGAAGACATAGGAAATATCTGAGCTGCTGTTTCTATCCTTCCTTCTAAAACGTTGTTGAAGGCAGCAAAGCAGAAAAGGACTCCAAAAAACTGATGGGAAAATCCAACACTTCATTGTGCACGTCTTGAATTAGATCTTCATGACTTGGTGCTCTGGTCGTAGGCAGTGCTGGGTGTTCCATAGCTCAGTACACACCTCAACCTCCATCCTGTTTCCTTTTGGGGAGATTTTTGGTTATTTTCTGTTGCTTTTGCTCCACTGATTGAAATGGAATTGCAGAGGGTTGGTGGCAGAGCATGGTGGGCACCAATTCTGCCCCAGTTCTCTGTGGAAAGTTCTTCTCTCTTCTCTGAACTGCTTCAAATTTCTTCCTGTGAATCATAAAACATTTTTGACATGCATGTAATGCATATGAAATCAATTTGAAGTCAAGAGTTGGTCAAAATGTTCTTGGCTAAATGATGGGAAGTGTTTGTGGCTGTTTTAAAGGTGGGAATTATTCTTTGTGTATGGTGGGCATCCAGAAACATTGTCTAACACCCTTCTGGAGAAGCTGAAGCACAGAAAGACATCATCAGCCTCTTTTGAGAAGGTTTCAGGGTTCTTTTCTAAACTCTTGAGTCTAGAAAGACTCAAAAACCCAGGTTATATATTGCCAAGAAAATTTCCTTCTCTCTTATTCTGAAGCTTGTTAAATAGAGAGATGTATTAAGCTGTAATTTAGTGTTGAGTGGGGAGTTAATAATTTCACTGATGTTTTTTATGTCCTAAATTGTAGGAATGCAATCTAATTGCAATTTATTCGTGTGGTTTTCTAGCAATACAGTGGACTTTCCAGGCTTCACTAAGCCTGTAGAGTGGTAAATGAAATAGATGTCCCTGTAGGCATCAAAAATGTACCTGTTCAGTCTAACACACCCATGAAGAGAAAATCCAGCTCACCAGCTACCCTCTTATTTTCACTGACACCTTACAACAAGTTTTAATCTCAATTATTAGGGGGGGAAAACACAAGAAACATCCTCTGTGGACCTACCTATCTGCTTAAAGAATTACTGGAAGACTTCAGAGCTGTAACTGGTGCATCTTTAGTTGCTCCTAATGCATTTTCCATGCATGGAATTCACAGCTGTTGGATGTGTGTGTGTTTCTTTCCCCCCCATTTACAAGAAACTGGCTGTACTGGGGTGTCAGTTGTGTTGAACCAGAGCTGTAGGGATCATTAACCTCCTTGGCAGGGCTCCCAAGTAATTGGAGCCACAGTTTGATCTCTCTTGTGAGGTGTTCATCACTGCTACTGCTGAGGAAAGATGATTATAGTGCAGACATTTCAATACATTCCTCTTTGTTTAGTATTTGTAATCTATTCTTTATTTTGATTTTTTAGAAAGTGTCCTGCCAATGATAATCTTGTTCTCTGAGTTTTGCAACTGGATTTCTGCTGCTTTATGAATTTGTTTCATCAGGAGTTGGCCTGATGGATCTTGTGAGTCCGAGAGGAACTGTAGGGATGTTGATTTATGGGCAATAAATCATGATCCAACTGCTTCCAGGTATATTCTTCCCACCAGTTGACTGTGCTGAGACATCAATCTTATTTTTAGAAGTGTAGCTTGCAGAGAAACAATCACGTTCACATCAGCACATATCATTATCATCAAAAAAATCTAAATTCTCTGTAATATACAGAAGTGCAAGTGACTTTAAAAATAGCAAATAAGTGTTCTAAAGCCAAGAAACTCTCTCCAAGACAAAAATACTTCCAGAGGTGATCAGTGCTCTACTGTTCCTGAAAAACTGCCCATCTGGACCCAGGTAATGGAGAGATCTTGAGAGTCCAGGTGATAAAAAGAAAACATTTCCCTTGGGTTTGGAAGGTGAGATGATCAAAGTCATCAAATACTGAATGCTGACCCAAAATAAACAGAGCAAGACATGTTGCAGTGCATTTGTGGTGATTTTTCTGTCTCTTCTTTGCCCACTCTTTGAGCTGCTGTATCTCTCAGGATACATAAAAAAATATATTAATGGAAAATGAGGAGAATATGAAGGTTATTATTGTGTCAGCTGAGAAGCAGCAAGAAAATTATAGAAGAATCTAGAAGAAGCCATCATTATATACTGGGAAAAAAAAAGAGGTTGGATTGTGTAATGGGGGCAAAAACCTCATTTAGCCAAAGTTCTTTTCAGAAGTCTTTAGCAAGACATCTCTTAATGTGAATCTGAATAAAGTCAGATAGTTCTTTTTTATCTCATCCATTTGCTCCAGTCCTGAATTCATTATATGGTGGTTTCTTATTCCAGATTTAGACACCGTGAAAACAGCTCATCAGAGCTACAAAGCCAAGATTAATTGGTGTTAATTTCCAAACATTAGTTTCAGAATTTCCTTGGCTTAATATGTCTAGACTTCAAATGAGAGGAAATAAGTTGTAGTGATGGGGAAAAAAAAAAAAGAAGTAAACTAGATGATTCCTGCACAGGATTAATGGGGCAAAATGAGTAAATTCTAGGATATTTTTTTTTTTAAATTCAAATTATTGCTGAAATGGTTTTGTGTCTATTTTGTGTTCTTTCAAAATCACCAACTGACCTCTGAATTCATTGCAGTCCTTTGGCTTTAGCAGTCTTCTGTTCAGGATCAATCTGTGGTTCTGCCATAAAATCA